GGGCCCAGAGCTCACCCGGGCCCAGAAGCCTACACTGCAATTGAACAGGCATGTAGCCGGAGTCAGCTGGCACGGGCCAGCTGCGGGTGTCCAACTGCAGTGTAGATATGCCCTAAGAGACATAGGTAGGAATGGCACCCAGCTGTCTGAGCCAGGATGGGTCACTGAAAGGCCAATCGCCCATGCAGACCCACATGCCCAGGACATGGACACCTAACACCCAACACCCCAGAGGGGGATGGATTCCCCCTCTCTCCGCAGGGAAGCTGGGCACAGACTGGGGAGGTGGGGGATAAGGGCTGGCTGCTGGAAGGAATCGGGACTCTCCCTGGGAACTGACCAAGGCAGTCGGACGGGGGGAGACAGAGCTGGAACAATGGGGTTCCCTACAGCTCGGCTGAGCTCTGGGCTGACCAGAATGGGCTCTGCTTGAACCTCTAGCTCTCTGTTCTGAGCTAAGGACAGCCTGTGCTGTGTGCGGCTGAGTAACAAACCCGACAGCTTTCACAATGCTGGCCAGTGTCACTGTCGATCCTGGCTGAGGTGCACTGCCCCTGCAGAGGGAACCCCTCTCTCCCAGAAGTCTGTCTCCCTGGGACTCGCTGGGCAGGGCAGGGCAGGGCAGGGCAGGGAGCCTCCACCCCACCCCTGGCTGGGCCGTGTCACAGACAATGCTTTCCCAAAGGCATTTTATTGATGGGAACTTTATAAAGAGTCACCTCCACAACCAGACCCACCCCCCATTCCCTGACCCTCTCAGGCACCCCCATGTCCCTTCTCACTGTCCTGAGGCCATGCACCCCCAGCCTTGTGCTGTGGGGACTTGCCCATCCCACACGTCCCCCACAGTCCTGTACCCTGGACCTGTTGGCAGGCAGTTCTCTCCTCCACCCCCAGGCACCTCCTCCTCTCCACCCCCAGAGTGGCGCTGTGGGAGCAGCTCTGAGGCTGTGTCGGTCCTCGTGGCATCCAGGGGCTAGGAAGTGGCTGGCCCCTCTAGTGCCTGGCAGGGGGTGCAGCACTCCTGTGCTAGAAGGTGCCAGTCTGTGCAGCACCCCCAGCACTAGGAGGCAACCAAGTGGGGCCATGCCATGCCCCATCAATAGGAGATGCCAGTCTGGGCAGCGCCCCTGGTGCTAGGTGTCCTGCCCCTCACCGCCCGATGGGGCATGCAGCAAGCCGGGGTCGTAGAGGGGCTGCCCAGTCCAGAGGCGGGTGGCAAAGAGGTGGCGGCAGGGCCGGCGGCTTGAGACATATATGGAGCAGGAGCAGGCGGCCAGGTCGCGGCTCACAAGGAAGGAGCAGATGCCGCCATCCAGCAGGAAGCCCTCGGGCACCTCCTTGACGTGGTAGTTGGCGTGCTTGGCCAGGCCAAGCTCCTCGGCGATGAGCGCAGCGCTGTCGGGCGGGCACACGGCGCGGTACAGCTCCGACACCCGCTCTTCATTGAGCGCCGCCATCTCCACCCGCAGCGCCTGAAGCTCCAGCAGCCCCCGCACACAGGCTGCCAGCCCCAGGGGCGGGCTCAGCGCCGAGCGCAGCTTCTGCTGGTGGAAGCTCATGTGCTCCAGAAAGGGGCAGTCGCAGTTGCGCTCGAAGGCCCAGCACTCCGCCCACATGCCCTTGTTGTGGTGCCAGTGCTCCAGGTAGTACTGCAGGAAGGGCAGCGGCGCCACGTCCTCCAGGTCGCTAAGGTACTGGCTGTAGACGCGGGGCGAGCTGGCGTTGGCCATGTTGTGCAGCAGGTTGCGCACCTTGTCCTCCTTGGGCACAGCCAGCTCGCGCGCCTTGCGGTACAGCGCCTCCAGCACCTGCAGCCGGCAGATCTGCACCCGGGCACAAGGCAGCACCTCCTCCACCGCGTCCACGTCCGTGATGCCCGCCCCCACGGTCAGGCACTTCACCTTCAGCTTGATGTCGGGTGCGCTCTGCACCAGGGAGGCCACAATGAAGATGACCAGATCGGGCACGCCCCGGCGGGCCACGCAGTAGGCGCACTCGCGGCCCCGCCCGTTGCCGTCCTGGCAGAGCACCGAGTAGAGCTCGAACTCACTGTTGACACAGGCCGCCTTGTCCATGTAGAGGCAGCGGGGGAAGCGCTGCACCAGGCTCCGCATGTGCGACGTGGCCAGGAAGATGCTGTTGAGCACGGCCACGTCCTCTTGGAAGACCAGCTTGACCTTGGCGGCCGGGTCGCTCTTGAATAGGCCGTCCAGCTGGCTCAGCAACTCGCACATGCCCTTGTCCTTGGCCTTGCTGTAGTCCTCCAGGTTCCAGATCAGGTCGGGTGCCAGGAACCGCTTGGACACGCTGTTGGTGATGCGGATGGGCAGCCCCATGCTGGCCTCCAGCTGGTGACGCTTGAAGTAGTGAGCAAACTCCACCTCTGACAACTTGTGGTTGTGCTCCAGGCTGGCCTCAATCACCACCAGCCGGTCCTTCTTGGGGCCCAGTCGCAGCGTGATGGAAGCCGGGCAGTCGATCTTCTCGCTGCTGGGGAGGGGAAACGGAGGGGTCAGCATGGGGCAGCCATGTGGGAGGGGTTGGGGGTGGGGACAGCCTCTAGGATCTGGCAGGAGTGAGCCTGAAGCAGATAAAGACATCCACTGCCCATATCACTGGCAGCAGCGGGTGAAGTCACTCCGGCAAGCTGCCTACCTTGGCACCTGGTGTCCAACCCATCCCTTGACCTGGGGGGACTAAATGGAGAGGGGCCGTGGCCCCATGGGGCGGTGTTGCCGGGTGCCACAGAACACAGAACCAGGAAGAGGATCTCAGGCTGCAAATTGCTGCCTCCAGGGCATGCGGGGGAGCCCCATCACCGGCACATTTAACGCCGGGCATGGCCCAGCCTGGAAACCTCCTGGCCAGGCCGAACGCAACCCAGTAATGCCCAGCAATCCCCTGGCAAGGCTAATGGCAGCTCCCCCAGGCCCAGGCAGGGCCCCCTCCGCCACCACAGCCGGGGGAACACGACAGGCCCCCAGTCGCACCCGGGGGAGAGCAGTGCGCCATGTAACAGCAGAGTCAGGATAGCAGGGGGAAGATCTGCCAGCAGAAACTAAATGCTGCAGAGTGTGGACTTAGGTGGGGGGGGGGGGCGGCCCAGCAGCGAGCCCTAGGGCGTCCCACTCACAGCCGGTTGCGTTGCACGGTGCTCTGGCCCACGTAGGTGCCGCTGTGCTTGCAGATGAGGCGGACGAAGCGGAAGCGCAGGGTGGCGGCCAGGCTGGGCTGGTAGTGCAGCGGGTTCTGGCGCAGCGAGATCAGCGGCTTGAGGCTGGCGATGATGAATAGCACCTTGTGCTTCTCGCACCAGTCATCGAAGAAGCTGCTGAACTGATGCCATGTGTGGAACTCCTGGCCCAGGCCCAGGTCCCCCATGGCCCTGCGGGCGGAGGGTGGGCGCGGGGAGCCACTGCCACAGGGGACACAAGACAGCGTCAGCTAGGCAGGGGGGAAACGCAGCCTCCCGTCCACCCCGAACCAGCCGGCCCTGCCTGGCCCCCTCACGCTGCCGGGTCCCAGCCTCCCAATGCT